TATAACAGACAATGTTCTGTTGCTGTTCTTAAGGTTTTCACTGGCTAATTCTTTTCAGGAGTAGATAGATCCCCAGGTCTTTCTTCCTAGTCTGTCTTAGTCTGGAAGCTCAGCTGAAACCTGTCTGCCCTGGGTGACCTTGCTGGTATTTAAATATTGGTGGCATGTCTTCCAGCATCACAGCAACATGCAAGCCCCCACAATGTGACAAACTGACAGATTCATGGAGGATTCAAACCATGATACCTATCAAATTAGGAGAGACTGCCATTCTTAGCAAACAGCCCAGTAAAGTAAATGAACAGTGGATACCCTCTGTATCTGATAACCCACTGGAGTGTTTATTAAATTTTTGTATTTTCTTCCCCTGATTTTTTTTTTTTTTAAACTATGAGCAGCAAGAAGATGCCAGGCTGCACCTTCAACATTTTGCTTGGAAATCTCCTTAGCTGAATATCCAAGTTTATTGTTTACAAGTTTTGCTTTCCATACAACTGTAGGACATAATTCAACCAAGTTCTCTGCCACCATGTCACAGTGATCACTTTTCTGCCAGTTACCAATAACAGTATCCTCATTTCCTCTGAGCTGTCACTAGCAAGGTCTTTAGTATCTATATTTCTACCAGTGGTCTGTTCAAGGTAGTCTAGGCTTTTTCTATCATGCTTCTCAAAATTCTTCCATCCTCTAGCCATTACCCAATTCAAAGCCACTTACACATTTTTAGATAGTTGCTACAGCAGCACCCTACTTCCTGGTACCAAATTTTGTACTGTGGCTTTCTGTGGCTGCCACAAACTTGGTGATAAAAAGAAAAGAAATTTATTCTCCATAAAAGACCTGTACAAAGAAAACTACAAAACACTACCGCAAGAAACCAAAAGAGACCTACATAAATGGAAAAACATACCATGCTCATGGATAGGAAGACTCAACATTGTGAAAATGTGAGTTCTACCCACAGCAATCTACAAGTATAATGCAATATCTATCCATATACCTACAACATTCTTTAACAAGATGGAAAAACTAATCACCAACTTTATATGGAAAGGAAAGAGGCCCTGGATAAGCAAAACATTATTGAAGAAAAAGAACAAAGTAGGAGGCCTCACACCACCTGATCTCAGAATCTGCTATACAGCCTCAGTAGTCAAAACAGCCTGGTACTGGTACAATGACAGACATAGACCAGTGGAACAGAATTGAGAACCCAGACATAAATCCATCCACCTGTGGTTAGCTGATCTTTGACAAAGGACCAAAGTCCATTCAATGGAGGAAGAGACAGTCTTTTTAACAACTGGTGCTGGCAAAACTGGATGTCCATCTGTAAAAAAATGGAATACGATTCATACTTCACACAGTACACAAAAACTAACTCAAAATGGATCAAAGACCTAAATATAAAACCTTAAAAAATAAAGATCATGGAAGAAGAAATATGGACAATGCTAGGGACCCTAATATATGGCATAAATATAATACAAACCATAACTAACTGCACAAACACCAGAAGATAAACCAGATAACTGGGATCTCCTAAAAATTAAACATTTATGCTCATCAAAAGACTTCTCAAAAGAGAACCTACAGACTGAGAAAAAATCTTTAGCTATGATATATCCAACAAGGGTCTAATCTCTAAAGTTTATAGAAAATTTCAACACCTCAGCAACAAAAAGACAACCAAATTAAAAAATGGAGAAAGGACTCAAACAGACACTTCAGCAAAGAAGACATTCAGGTGACTAATAAACACATGAAGAGATGCTCACAATCATTAGCTGTCAGAGAAATGCAAATCAAAACTACAGTGAGATACCATCTCACCTGACAATACTGGCACTAATCAAAAACACAAAAAAACAAATGCTGACAAGGTTGTGGAGAGATTGAAACTTTTATACACTGCTGTGGAAATGTAAAATGGTGCAACCACTTATGGAAAATAATATGGTGTTTCCTTAAAAATCTAGAAATACCATATGATCCAGCAATCCCACTCCTAGGAATATATCCTAGAGAAATAAGAGCCATAACAAGAATAGATGTATGCATACCCATGTTCATTACAGCGTTATTTACCATTTCAAAAAGATGGAAACAACCTATTGCCCATCAGTGAGTGAATGGATAAACAAAATATGGTATGTACACCCAATGGAATACTATGCAATGATAAACAACAATGATGAATCCACTAAATGTCTCACAACGTGGATGAATCTGGAGGGCATTATGGTGAGTGAAATAAGTCAATCACAGAAGATCTATTGTATGAGACCACTATTATAAAAACAAGAGAAGGTTTACATCCAGAAATAAAAAAAACAATTTTTGATGGTTACAAAGGTGTGGTGGGGTGAGGAAATCACTAACTAGATAGTAAACAAGTGTTAATTTTGCTGAAGGGAAACAAAGACAACACACAGTGTAGGGGAAGTCAGCACAACTTGACCAAGGCAAAGTCATAGAAGCTTCCTAGACACATCCAAACACCTTGAGAGACCAACTTACTGGGGCTGAGTGCTGGGGACCATAGTCTCAGGGAATATCTGTGTCAATTGGTATAACATATTTCATAAAGAAAATGTTCGACATCCTACTTTGGTGAGTAGCGTCTGCGGTCTTAAAAGCTTCTGAATGGCCATCTAAGATACATCTGTTGGTCCCATCCTGTCCAGAGCAAAGGATAATGAAAAAAAAAAGCAAAGAAACAAGGAAAACTTTAGTCCAAAGGACTAATGGACCACCTGAACCATAGCCTCCACCAGCCTGAGCCCAGAAGAACTAGATGGTGCCTGGCTGCCACCACTGTCCACTCTGACAGGGATCACAATAGAGGGTCCCAGACAGAGCGGGAGAAAAATGGAGAACAAAATTCAAATTACCAAAAAAAAAATAAAGACCAGACTTACTGATCTGACAGAGACGGGAGGAACCCCAAGACTATGGCCACCGGACACCCTGCTAACTCAAAATCGAAGCCACTTCCCAAGTCTACCTTGCAGCCAAAGATTAGACAGACCTTTAAAACAATAACACACATGAGGAATGTACTTCTTAGTTCAATCAGGAATACGAGGCCAAATGGGTAACACCTGCCCAAAAGCAAAGATGACAAGGCAGGAAGGGACAGGAAAACTAGACGAATGGACACGGGGAACCCGAGGTGGAAAGGGGGAGAGTGCTGATACATTGCAGGGATTGCAACCAATGTCATAAAACAACTTGTGTATAAATTTTTGAATGAGAAACTATTTGTACTATAAACTTTCACCTAAAGCAAATAAAATGAAATTAAAAAAGAAAGAAAACAAATTTATTCTCTCATAGTTCTGGAGGCCCATGTCTGAAATTTGTATCAGTGGGCCGAAATCAAGGTATTGGCAGGGCTGTATTCCCTCCAGAAGCGCTAGGGGAGAATTCAGGTTCGGGTAGCTGCCAGCATTCCTTGGCTTGTGGCCACATCACTCCAGTCTTCCAGGCCAGCATCTTCAAATCTCTCTGCTTCATCTTTACATGACTTTCTCCTCCATATGGGTCAAATCTTCTTCTTCTTCCTTCTTATAAGGACACTTTGGATTACATTTAGGGCCCACCCAGGTAAGCCAGAATAACCTCCTCATTTCAAGATCCTCAATATGATCAGATCTGCAAAGACCCCTCTCTTAGTCATCTGGTGCTGCTATAACAGAAATACTACACATGGATGGTTTTAACAAAGAGAAGTTTATTTCCTTACAGTGAAGTAAGCGAAAAGTCCAAATTCAGGGCATCAGCTCCACAGGAAGGCTTTCTCTCTCTGTCAGCTCTGGAGGAAGGTCCTTGTCATCATCAGTCTTCCCCTGGCCTAGGATCTTCTCTGCGCAGGAACCTCAGGTCCAAAGGATGGGCTCTGCTCCCGGTGCTTCTTTCTTGGTGGTATGAGGTGCCCAATTTTCTGCTTATTTCCTTTTCCTTTCATCTCTTACAAGAGATAAAAGGTGGTGCAGGCCACACCCCAGGGAAACTCCCTTTACATTGGATCAGGGATGGGACCTGGGTTAGGGTGGTGTTACAATCCCACCCTAATCCTTTTTAATGCAAAATTACAATCACAAAATGGAGGATAACCACACAACACTGGGAATCATGGCCTAGCCAAATTGATACACACATTTTTTGGGGTACACAATTCAATCCATGACAACCCCTGTCTTGCCATATAAAGTAACATCCTCAGTTTCCAGGGATTAGGATGATATCTTTGGGGGCCATTTTTTCAGCCTGTCACGCTCCTAGATTTTTACAGCCGTCTCTACCGCCTGTCCTCCTCTATGCTATAGCCCTGCACCTTTAAACAGGCGGATCAGATTACATCACTGCCTGCCTTCTTTCACGGGCTCCTGGTAGGCTGCAGGAAAAAGTCCTAGTTCCCTTCTCATCTTTCTCTCCCCGCTTTTCCCTTTCATGTTAGTTTCAGCCATGCCCAGCTTCCTCCAGTTCCTTAGAAGAGTCCAATTCAGCTCTCCTCTGGGCCTTTGTGTGTTCCTCTGCCTGCAACTCTTACTTGCCCCCTGTCCTTAGGTTAAGCTCACTCCAGTTTATCATTCAGTTCTCATTTAGACTTTGGGCTTCACTTCCTGCAAGAAAGCTTCACTCCGCTTGTGGAGTCAGGTGCCCTTTCTGTGTGTCCCTGTCAGAGCACTTAAAATATGTCAGGTATCCACCTTGTTCACAAGATGTGTCCCCACCTAGCACAGTGCCTGACACACAGTAGGTGCCTAATAAATGTTTGCAGATGAGAATACCCATAGGAAGTGAGCCTCTCTACCCTACCAAGAATAATACTGCAACAAAGAACAGAAATCACGTGAAACAGCCTTGCTGGAGAGGATTACATAAGTGAATGCCAAGAGTTCCTACAGATCTTTATTTTTAAGCAAAAACCAAGGATTATGTAATTATGAGGTTGAAGAAAATATTTTCATGCTTATTATTCTGTTTTCTTTCAGACCGTCCCTGTATTTCTCACTTTGCATAATGTAGCTGAAGCTATCATCTGTGGGTACCACAAGTGTTTTCGGAAGGAGGTAAATGTTAACGCAAAATGGGAGTGTTATCTCCATTGCTTTAAATTTCAAAGAAGCACTTATTTTATGATCCAAATTGGTGTCTACCTTTTTCTACTACCAATTTGCATTTCAAGATTGCCTGAAAGTGGTCACTAATTTCAAGGATCGCGGTTTTGACATCCCTTCAGTTTGTCAGACATGTGGGAATGTTTCTCGGTCTGAATGGAACTCAGCTCCAGGCAAGGCTGAGCCAGACCCTCAGGATGTTGTTGTTGTTAGCTGCCGTCAAACCAGCTGGTCCCTGACTTGTGGCGACCCCATGCACAACAGGACTGGACCATTGTGATCCATAAGGTTTTCTTTTTTTTTTATTGTTGTAGTTTAAGGGAAACTTTATAATTCAAGTTAGTCTCTCATACAAAAATTTATACATACATTGTTATGTGACCCTAACTGCTCTCCCTATGCTGTGACAGCACACTCCTCCTTTCCACCCCTGATTTCCCGTGTCCATTCACCCAGCTTCTGACCCTCTCTGCCTTCTCATCATAGGGTTTTCATTGGCTGATTTTAGAAGTAGATTGCCAGGACTTTCCTCCTAGTCTGTCTTAGTCTGGAAGCTCCCCTGAAACCTCGCAAGCTTCCACTGACTGTCTGTGCCTGAGATGCCCTGGCCAGGAATTGAATCTGGTTTCCTGCATGGAAGGTGAGAATACCACTAAACCACTAGTGCCTCAATGATGAAGGTGGATTTGGTGTGGACCTGGTGAGGGGCGCATACCCACCAATAGCTAATCTCAACACCACATGAATGTTGTGGAAGAGGTTCCAGGGCTTAGAACCAGTTCAGAGCAGTTCAGTCATGGCCTGCACAATCAAGGGCAACGTACGCATTGCATAGCAACCAAATCTCTTGCCAGTCAGCTTTTGACTCGAGTAGGAAACAGGCAGCGCCTCACTCAGAGATGGTGGCTGACCGTGCAGCTTTTAATGTGTTTTGCTGTCTGCAGTCCTGGCAGTAGTCCAGTCTCCCACATCAGGTTCCTGAAAGTTTCTTGATGCAGGAGATTGGATTATTGGCAGGACTGGAAAGAGCACCACACATTCAAAGTGATGCCCTTGGCCGCCATCTTTGAATGGGTGCGGTGGATAAATTACTTTTGTGTGTGGCCTTTCTAGCCATGGTCTTGTTACTCCCATCCAGGTGATTGTGTGATAGAGTAATTGTGGCCAACCAAGGGGATTGGTCAGTTTTGCCTTAAAAGAGAGCCAATTCCAGAGCAGAGAGGAGGAGCCCACCACCACCAAGGAAGGAGAGAGTAGCAGGAGAGACCTGGCAGCAGGAGATGGTGCGGTGGCCTTCCTGGCCCACAGAGAGAGAAAGCTGAAGGCCTTTTGGCAGAGACTCAGGGCCAGGGAGAGGTGTGCCTGTGAGCACGGCTGGGAAGAGGCTATCCTGGTGAAGGAACTGTATCCTGAGTGTTCCTGAGCCTGAATTGTAACTCTTACTTCCCTAATAAACCCCATAACTGTGAGTATAGTCTGTGAGTTCTGTGTGGCCGTTGCAATGAATTACTGAACCCAGTAGATAGTGCTGTGGGAGGGACAGGTGGTGTCAGAAATGATAGAGATGGCAGAGAGAGGAGGTTAGTCTGACATCCACCTCATAGGAATCAGCCTTGGGCTGTTGATCTTGGTTCTCCTTCCCCTTCGTGAAGTTGGAGGAGGTCAGACATTGCCTCCGTGCCGTTTTTACAGCAGGGCACTGCTGCCTGTTTCCTACTTAGGTCAAAAGCTGAGGCGCAACAGATTTGGTTGCTATGCAATATGTACGGTGCCCTTGTTTCTGTTGGCCATGACTGAACTGCTTTGAACCAGTTAGAAGCCTTGCATGGTTTCTGTCAGCCATACTGAACCATTAGGAACCAGTTGGAAGCCCTGAGAGGTTCTCACAGGGTCCTGGGAACATTTGTCTACCCTGGGGAAATTTGCTTTTCTTTCCAACCCCGGATTTACCTCATACCAGCTAGAGCAAGTTTCTTCACCTTCTGTGCCTCCATCTGTGAAACAGGATCATGATGGTACCCAGCTCATAGAGTTATTCAGAAGGCTCAGTGAGACATACATGTTAAGTGCTTCTAACAGTTTTGGGCATGTTGTAGGTGCTGTATACACATCAGCTATTATTTTCAGTGTTGTTATTGGTGGTTTCAATTTGGTCTCTTTTTCAGGAGTCCTTTTTTTCCTAATATCTGCATACTTGAAATAGTTCCATACAAAATTTTGGAACTTTTAAGCTATAGAGAGGCTAGTTGGCACTTTAGGCAGGATCTTTCAGGTGTTCAGGAGACAGCTGTCTTTCCTGGTGGCCAAGGCCACTCCCCACACCTGTTCTCCATGTATCACCCCACCTGCCTTCTCAGAGGCAGTGCTCCATCAGTTATCCTGCCTGTTCCCTGTATTTTTAACTTCTTCCTCCAGGCTTGTCCATAAACGTGTTCAGTGTTACCAGCTCACCAGGATGAACCAGGCTCTGGGAGATAGACTCATATTAGCCTAACTCTGGAAAGGTGTATTTGTAAAGCAAACACTCAAAGGCTTGTGCCTCCCTTTCCTTCGCTTGCCTCATCTCATCCTTTCCCTTCTATCCACAGTGCCTCAGAGAGGGTTGGGCTTGGCATTGTCCATGTCCTCGTCCCTTTCATCTTTTATCCGCTCCCTTCTTCACCCCATCTTACCCTGCAGTTGCTCTGGCTGGATCCATTGACGACTTCATCTTTGTGCCTCTCTGTTAACAGTATACACCGTTCATCACCCCACCCCTTTTCTTTTTCTTTTTTTTATTGTGCTTTAGGTGAAAGTTTACAGTTCAAGTTAATTTCTCATACAAAAATTTATACACATATTGTTATGTGACCCTAGCTGCAATCCCTATAATGTGACAGCCACTCCACCTTTCCACCCCGGGTTTCTCGTGTCCATTCAACCAGCTCCTGACCCTCTCTGCCTTCTCATTCTGCTTCCGAACAGGAGCTGCCCATTTAGTCTTGTGTATCTGCTTGAACTAAGAAGCACACTCTTCACAAGTATTATTTTATGTTTTATAGTCCAGTCTAATCTTTGTCTGAAGAGTTGGCTTCGGGAATGGTTTTAGTTCTGGGTTAACAGAGCATCCGGGGGTCATAGTTTCGGGGGTTCTCCCAGTCTCTGTCAGACCATTAAGTCTGGTCTTTTTACATGAATTTGAGTTCTGCACCACACTTTTCTCCTGGTCCATCTGGGACTCTCTGTTGTGTTCCCTATTGGGAGGGTCATTGGTGGTAGCCAGGCACCATCTAGTTCTTCTGGTTTCAGGCTGATGGAGTCTCTGGTTTATGTGGCCCTTTTGTCTCTTGGGCTAATATTTTCCTTGTGTCTTTGGTGGTTTTCATTCTCCTTTGCTCAGGGACCCCACCCCTTTTCTGAATCTGTTCGCCCCCTTGGCCTTCCTGACCCCACACCTGCCCAGTTCTCTTCCTGCGTCCCTGACTCTTCTTCACAGCCCCTTGTCCTCTCTTCTTGTTCCCTTGCCTCTCCTCAGGGTCTTCTAGGGCGCTGTCCTCATGCCACAGGCTTTCTGGGACATCTCACCCACACCTGCAGCTCAGCTGCCGTCTGTTCATTGATGACTCCTAAGTCCCTGTCTTTAGCCCAGAGTCTCTCCTGTATGGGGGTCATCAGCGGAGCCCCACGCCTGCTTCCTCTGGGTCTCTACCTGGCATCTGAAATGCAGAAGGGCCATAATGGAATGATTTATTTCCCCAAACCTGCTTCTTGTTTCGTAGTCACTGTCCTGGTCATCGTCACCCAGGACAGAACCCTAGGGATCCTTTTTTGGCTCCTCTGTCCCCCTGGTCCCACAACCAGTCTGTTACCAAATCTGCTTGATTCTTGCTTCCTAATATGTCCGCTACCAGGCCCCTCCTCTCATCTCTTCCCTCAGAGCTGCCCGCCTAGGAGCCGAGGAAGGAGAGCTGGATCTCCTCAGCCCTCAGGCAGCCAGGGAGGTCCTGGTGTGAGCTGTCCTGGGGCTTCAACAGTCATCCTCTCCTGTGTGCCATTACCTGGCAAAGGCTGGGCAGGGAGTTGCCTGCCAGAGGTGCAGCAGTGTCCTAACTGGTTTCCTGCTGTGCCCTTCCCCATGCGCACCCTTTGTTCACTGTACCAAGTGACCTCAGGGAAACACAGATGGATCATGTCACTCCCCCGCTTACTGCCCTCCAGGGACTGTCCGTGACCTACAGGATGAACGGCGAGCCCCTCAGGGGCATGCAAAGCCCTCATCATCTGGGCCCCATCAACTTCTCCAGCTTTTATAAATTCCAGTCACAGTCAAACGTCTCACTTTTCCTAGACCATGTCCTTTTTTTTATGGTAAAAAAATATATAACAAAACATTTGTCAGTTCAACAGTTCTTACAGGTATAATTCAGTGACATTGATTACATTCATGTTGTGTAATCATCACAGCTATCCTTTTCCAAGTTATTCCACCACCATTAACAGAATGTCAGTGCCCCCTAAGCAATGACTCCCCCTTCCTCATTCCCTCTCACCTTTGGTAAATACTAATAAGCTTTGGTCTCTATACATTTGCCAATTCCATGTAAGTGAGTTCATACAATATTTGTCCTTTTGTGACTGACTTACTTCACTCAGCATGATGTTTCAAGGTTCATCCATGTTGTGGCATATATCAGGACTTCATTTCTTTTTATGGTTGAGTAATATTCCATTGTATGGATGGACTACATTTTGTTTATCCGTTTATCTGTTGACGGACATTTTGGTTGTTTCTACCTTTTGACTATTGTGAAAAGTTCAGCAATGAGCGTTGGTGAACGTGTGTTTGTTTGCGTTGCTGCTTTCAAGTCTCTTGGGTATGTACCTAGGAGACAAATTGCTGAGTCGCATGGTAGTTCCGTGGTTAACTTTTTGAGGAACAGCCTGTTTTCCATAGCGACTGTACCACCAGCAAT